TGTACATGTGGGTAATATGACTTCTCATCGTTTCATTTTTCTCTCCTTAGAAATCTGCTTCCCGTAAATGTTTTTGATTTTCATGAGAAACAAGGCAAAGAATGCTGTAATATGCTAACTCGATAGATCAAACCTTTTACACTAGTTTACCATTTTAGGCTTTCAGAAACGTTAGCCGGAGGGAGCTACTGTCGTTACAGACGAAGAATTATAGTTGAAGCGATGAGTGTCGATCTGAAAGATCGACACTCATCGCTTTCGCTACTACACTGATGAATATGCAGAGCTACTTCATAGCTACCTTTTTTCGTTCTTACATTATTGGCTTTGCATGTGTCACTAATACAAATATTTTAGAGAGCACACCTTCCATGACACGTATTGTTCGCTTCTAGTCATCGTTGATTACTTCTCTGGACTCATAGTTCCTCTGCTGCACGCACTTCTGCAAAACGCTCTGTTGTTGTTGAACCCATGCGGATTACCTCGGGCTAAATGTTACCTTCCACTTCTCTAGATATACTTTGTATGATCACAACCCTCGCCCACACCCTCTTTTACAAAGAAGGCGCTTTCGGCTTTTTACCTTTTTACTGCATAAAACGAAGTCTGTTAGTATTTCATTGAGTGCCAACGCCTGCCAAAACTGTTCCTGACACCTTTGGATCCTCAATCAGGTGGCCGAGCGATCTCTTTCCGGTATCCATCAGCGCTTGATATTTTCCTACAAAGCCTCGGAGCCTCCAATATCTTGTAGATCAACTACTACTCTCGAAATCCCTTTAAAACTTTTTTTATGAAGTTTTGAACATTTCCAGGAAAAACGTTTTTTTGACCTTTGGCCCCCGGAGGTGATGTTCTTTTGATCCCGACCTCACACTCTCCCCCTCAGCCAAGTCCCAGCCTCAAAACCTCTTCAAACCCATGTTTCATGAAGTTTTGAACAATTCCAGAAAAATAGCCATTTGACCTTTGACCTGCGACCTGCGACAGATACACACACAAACAAACAAACGAATTTCCGTGTTTTGACCACTTTTTTTCGACATGACCCTCCTTACAGTCGAGGGAATAATCCTTTAATTCGTCAAAAAATAACATTGGCTATTCATTATTTCAATATTCTCTTTCTTATATATACTTTGAAAAAGCACGTGAAATACTTGAAACAAATAGTGCATCTAATAGTCCTGATCTTGCTTCTGTTTATCAGCAAATTGGCGATGCATTTTGTATGAAAGAAGATTATTCAAGTGCACTTGCTGCTCTTCGTAAAGCTCTTGAAATTGAAGAAAAACATTTAACATCTAATCATCTCTATAAAGCATATACGTATGCTAGTATGACTAAAGTATTCTATGGTCTTAATGATTATCAACAATGTTTAGAATATTTAGAACGTGCTATTCAAATTACTCATCAAAATAAAACACCCAGCTAGTGAAGAATTTTATAAATTATGCCAAGATGTGAAGACTGATATGTTCGGACGATATTCGTTCAAATGGTGATGATATTTTTTTAGTTGTTTATATAAAATATCTCGAAAAAATTCACGTATTTCAAAAGAAACATAATTTTACATAGATGATACATGTTGATTTATTTTCTTTCTTAAAGCTTTGTTAAAAAGAAACTATCATGCGCTAAACATTCCGAAATCTCATCTGTTTATTTATTTCCCTTGATAAAGAATAGAATTCATGGTTTCTATAGAATTCTGAAGTAAATGTGAATGATAAAGATTCGAAATACTTTCTTAACTATTCTTTTCTAATCACAAGGTCAATATGTCTTCTCTTATCTTAATGCGAAAGAGCTTATCGAATGAGAAATCCTCAAATAAATAAAAAGATATATATATTAATCTAATATCATCGAAAGAAAGTTAAAAGAGAAAATGTTCTACTTTTTACTGATTGGAATTCAAATTACGATCGGAATATCTAGTCCGATGCAATCTTATGATCGTACAATAGAACTGGAAAAGAATATTGTTCAACTTTGGTGGACAGTAGATGATATTGAACAAGAAATTACTTTTGAATTACATGTAAAAACAACGGGATGGATTGCATTAGGAATTAGTCCAGGTACAGAAATCAATTTTTAAATTTCATCATATTACAGAATCGTTTTTGTTCAGCTGGGGGTATGAAAGGTGCTGATATAGCTATTGGTTGGGTAGATTCTTCTGGAAAATCTTTTCTTGAAGTATTATTCATTGAGAGTTTTACTGTCTTAGAATTCATGATTATCGATTAGGATAGATTTGCAGTTGGTAAAGTTACACCGATCACGGATAATACAACACACGATTGGATTCTTCTTCATGGTCAAGAACGAGATGGATGGACAGCTATACAATTTAAACGTTCTTTTGATTCATGTGATCCCATGGATGTTCCAATACGAGTAAAATTTTTTTTAATATTCTTTTCTATCAAATCATCATCATCTAGTCTGGAACAAACATTTTAATCTATGCATATGGTCTTACTGATTCAATAATGTATCATGAAGGACGGCGAGGTACACGGATATTACCATTAAGATCTTATTCAAATCAAGTAACTGATAATATATTAGATGGATTAGATTTGTTTGATTTCCGTTTTGATAATGTTCGTAAATGAACTTTGTCTGTCTCTCTTCTACGATGTTCATATTTCTTTAGCTTCCTATTCCATCAACAGATACAACATACTATTGTAAAGTATTCAAAAGTCCCAATCAATATTCGACGAAAAGACATGCAATAGCGGTATGTTTGAACTTACCTTTTGGATAGATTTAGTTGATTAGATTTGCAATATAGCATGAAATACTGATTGATACAACACATCAGAATTTATTACATCATCTCGATTTATTTGAATGTAATTCAAATGAAATTCTCGATGATTCAAATTTACCTGATGGTATCTGTGATAATATCATAACTCAAATGCGAATGTGTTCATCAAATTTAGCGACAGCATGGGCAATTGGTGCTGATCCAGTATAAAACAAAAGAATAATTACTTAAGCTTAATTCATATTTTTTCTAATAGATAACTCTTTATCCAAAAGAAGCTGGCTATTCTATTGTAAATTTCAAGTATTTTATGATTAAAATACATTATGATAATCCAAAGATGATGTCAAGTAAAGTGAATATATGGAATTATATCTTCATATTTATCTTTATGTGTAGATTTACGAGATAGTTCAGGAATTCGATTTTATCTTGGAAATAATCTTCGAGAAAATGATCTGGGTTATCTTGTTTTTGGCACATCGTCTAATGCAGCAAGTCTTGCTATTCCACCGAATGTTCGACGATTTATTGTGGAGTCGTATTGTCCTTCTGAAGCAACTCGCGTATGCGAATATTATTGCATTATTTTTCTGAAAATATTTGATTTAAAACTAGAATTTGCCTTCAACTGGCGTTAACGTTGTATCTGCTCTACCGCATACTCATTTACAAGATATTTTTAAGGGAATATCGATAAATTTATTCGTGGTTTGTTTAGGTTTTAGTGTTTGGACGAAGATAATTCGAAATTAAACGGCTATTGACTATCTATTTAATGCAGAAGCTTTTGATTTTGATCATCAATTTGCAAATCGTTTAAGAAAACCAATTAAAATATATCCAGTAAGATTGAAATTCTATACGATTATTTCCATGAGAGTAATGATATTTAGGGTGATGAATTTGCTACTCGTTGTGTTTATAATACAATTAATAAAGATAAGATTACTTTGGTAATATAGACTTATATTTTGATGAAAATTTAAAAGATTTTTTCTTCATTTTATTAGGGTGGTCAAAGAACGATCGATGAAATGTGTTCTCATACATTTTCATATTATCCATTTGTGGATAGTTTATCTGCATGTATGACAAGAATTTATTTAATAGCATGGAAAATTCAAATGAATTCTTCATCAATGATTGATGATTTAGAATTAGAACATACGCTTCGAAATCTTACATGGATATCTCAATCAGCTAATCAATGGCAAACATTTTATAATGAAGCACAACGTGTTGTTGCTATATTTCGAGGAGGTGAAATCGAATCAAAGATTTTACCAAATCGTCCAAAATATAAAGATTTTAAAGATGAATTATGTAAAAGAAAACCGATTATTATTGAACCATTGGGAAATTCATGTGTTTCTTTCTTTACTTTTCATAACAAATTCTTCTTTTTTGTATTGAACTTTTTCATTATTCAGAAATACATATTCTGATGATATTATATAGATATGAATACGAAATCAAATATATCTGTTCTGTTTATTCAACGATCATGGTGTTTTTGATTATCTTTCACGTTTAAATAATAACTTTCAGTCATCTGACTGATTTAATCTTCTTGAAGAGCAAGCATAAAACCGTAACGTTCTCAATTTCTACGATACCTAACCATTATAAGAATTCTTTACCTAGATTTGTTTCGGAATCTGTTTCAGATCGTATTTCTTAGCAAATTTTCAAAAGTTATTCGAAACAGAGTCAGCTTTCAGATGAAACACATTTCATCAAGCAGTCGATCGTTCCGAACGAATCCGTGCCAATTCTATCG